GCCTCTTTCCCTTCTTTACCGCGACCAAAAGCATCATAAGCTGTTCCGTAAACAGATAAATCTCTGGAATGTCGACTATTATCAGATGGTTCCTCTATAAATGAATTATGCTTAGTGTCTGGTTCTGATTCAAATCCATCAACCATCAGATTAGAACCGTCCGGAGAAATTTTTCCAGCAAAGGCCTTCAAAGCATCACCACTCACTGAGGGCCAGCCAGAAGCTGTAAAAAACTCTGCCTGCATATCTTTATCAAAACAGTGCAGAGTAATGTTACGATATTTAGATGGAATCTTTTTTCCATCTTCTGTAACATTTTCAGCATTGAGCACTTTGAAGGTCTTGGAATTCGGCAACTTCTGCTCTTCATCTTTTCTGTTAAGTTTCAGCCACAAAACAAAGAGCTGTCATAAGCAATCAGCTCAATAACATGGATAACATAGAAATAACTAAATGACAAAAAAAATGTGAAAAACATAAGGGTGATTTTGTAGAAAGCTCAATCTAGCAACTCTTGACCTACTTACAGTGCATGCTCACCATTCTAAGTCCTGCGAGCAAATAAATTGCCAAAGTATGTCAAGTACCGCTTAGCAATGTAAAAAAGTGTGGAAATTCAGGAAGGTGAGACCTACAGACACCTACAAGAATCTTGGAGGATTGAATTGGAAGACAACTGTGAAAACTCTTTGATTTGTCTTAATTCTCTTCTTATTTATGTTTTTTATTTTATTTCTGAATCATCTCCTTTCCATATTTAGATTAGATAAATTAAATAACATTATAATATAGGACATACCATTGCCCTATATATGTACCTTAAAGATGAATAATGAAAGTATGCAAGCATTTTTCCTCAAAAAAGTTGCTTTCAACATAGTATCAGAGCTCTAAACAACCCCCAAAACCATAGCTTTCTCGTATGGCAAGAACACCTTCTGCAAGAACACCTTCTGCCACTAAAAGTTCTTTCCTGTAGGCCCATGTTCTAGCCCGCTTCCTGCAGACCAGATCAGCCCCATGTAACAGCTAGAGCAGCCTCAAGCTTAGGTAGCAGCCCTGTAGACTTCTTCCCCTGCTGGAAACCCTCGCCTACCCCTCCTACCTGAATCCCTCGCGATACAGTCGCGATTAGTGCTACCCAAGGAGGCAATGACGTCATTGTAGAGTAAAGAGACCAGAAAATCACATCTTTCCCTTCATTCCACTCGCTTTCCAATGGGAAATCAACTCTGGGATTGCGGCGTACAGAGTTTCTTGCCATTCCCTGCAGCCGACAATACCGGAATCCTCTCCCTGTAGCAGGTAGCAAAACAGATGGATTTCCTACAGCAGGAGACGTGAAATACCTAATTTTGGACAAAAAAATAAATAATTTGGCAATTTTAAAATATATTCAAAAGTTTACATTCCCCAAAATCAAACCAAATCATTTTAATAAAATTCTACGTGTTGAATGAATCAATTTGCTATATAATACTATGTATGAATTGTAATGTATGTGAAAATATAAAATTTTGAAATTATCAATGACGGGGGCTATCCGGTGATGGGGGACTGAACCAACTGAAGCCAGCTAAACCGGTTCAACCAGGAGAAAGATAGGGCCAGCCGGGCCTTATTGATGGGTTACGGTTGCCGCCCAAGGAGAAGGGTCTCTCCCTCCTAATTATCTACTACATATATGTTATTTTTATGTCTCTGGAGTTTAATTTTACTTTCAAATTTCTTGTCGCCGGCGTTTTCTCCCTTACTAGGGTTGTCTCTAAGGACAAGCAGTGTTATGGCTTTATCCTGCTTCAAGGTGGTGATTATCTCCATATAATCCTCTGATTCCTCCTTTTCCTACTCGCTACTATCCTACCTGTGCATTTACCTTTTACTGTTTCCCTATTGTCAGCCAAAACTCTCCCTTGCCCTTGCCGCAACCCACTCCAACACCTCCTCCTCTTGCTGCCGCAATCTCCCTCCAAAATCTCCTGCTGCCATCACACCCCGTCCAATACCCAAACCTTCTGCCACCAACCAATACCAGCCCTCCTGCTACTGCGCAAGCCCCAACCAGCCATCCCACCTATTGTCCAACCGGTGTTCACCACTTTCACCCTCATCCTAGGAGGTCAATTGTATTTTATGTTGTTTTATTCATGTTTTAACAGCCTTCGTCGCAATCCCTTTTGAGGTTTCAACAATAATATTCACATTCTATTGAGAGATAGGTAAACTTCTGTATCAATTGATATCAAAGCTGGTCTAATCCTAGTCCTATCCTAAAGTTTCCTAGCATCCACCTTACCCAACTATCACCCTCCACCCCCCAAACCAAAAATTTATTTCCTATCCTCAAGAATCTCTTTCACATCCCAAACCCTATACATGCTACTAAGGAGACGCATGCTGAAAACTACCATGAAGAGAAACATTGAAAAATCAGTCGGCTTCAACAGAGGCTTGCATAGATTGATGATGGAACTAGGGGGAAATTACTCTCGATCAGAAAATGAAAAGTTGAAGAGGAGAAAGGGATGGGATATGAATCTTTTTCATAAGAAAGACTTCAGTGATGAGGAAGAAAGACCCTAAATTTTCGAAATTCAGGATCAGAGAAGGCAGTATATGGGGGATACAGAGAGTTCAGCATAAAAGTGGATCTATTAAAGTTCAATTGAGGTATTTATTGGCATCAATTTTTTATATCACGAGTGTAGGATGTCCACCTGCATGACTCGAGATGGTCTACGGTTTGTCCGTACCATCCGATAGCTCACCAAGGCCTCTCAAGCACTTGTTTGGGGCAAATAGATAGGGTTGGCGGCGATTTAGCCTTACCTGGGAGAACCTGCCATTGGAAAGGCTTATTCAAAACACAAGGCAAACTCGGTGCTTATTCTAGTATTTAGAAGTCACCGCACATCCGTTGGAAACCTCTCATGGGCAAGAGAAGTCGTGAAGTCCTCCTACGCGCTCAACGGGAAAGTTAGGGTTCAATGCACCCTACCGTGTCGTGGTTTCGGCAAACCGTTGGCAACGATTTCCCACGTGAATCGCCAACTAAAATATCAAGTTTCCGAGTTATGAGACTACATTTCATTCATATGGAGTCTCCTGTAGCTTACGAATCAAAAAAAACTTATGTTGGGCTCTCCCACTGAAAATCAGGGTTTTAGGGCTAGACCGACACATAGGAGCCAACCCCAAGTGCCTAAGGCGTCCAAATTGCCTCCTCAAAAATCTAAGACCGAGCCTCTGAAATTCTGGCGCCCGTTTCTTGCACCAGACAGAATGGGCGCCTAGGAGCTAGTTTTAGGCGCCAAGGTGCCCAAAACATCTCAAAAATGACCTTTTCCCGAGACCCGGGAAAGTAGGGGTCCATATGCCTGGGGTCCAGGGTCCACGCGCCTAGAAGCCGGTCTCTTCCCAGGTCACGGAAAATAGCCATTTTTGGCGCCGTTATTGACTCCTGAGGCAGCCAGAATTGCAGGTGGGTGATGATGGTCCATGGGGATGGGAAAAGAGGATGCAAAATGCCTATTTTAGCCCCCCTTCAAAAACTTATTAGGATCTAATAAGGACATTTTTGTCAATTGGTTGGCGGTGAACTGAGCTTAACCGAGGTAGCCTCATTTCCCCAAGGGATCGGCTCTCATTTTTCCATCGACGGCTGAAGCTGTACTTGGAAAAAACTTTTTGAGGAAAGCTTTGGGAGAGCGTTTGGAGAAGTTTGGAGATCCTTTGGAGGGGTTTTCTTGGAAGAGAGAGTGAGGAAGATCTTCATCTTCCTCAAGAGGAGAAAGCTGGGGAGCCTTCCTCCCTCATTCTCTTCTCTTTAACCTCCTTTCTCACCTTCTTAATCTTCCTCCACCTCATTTCTTGAGTGCGCAATGAGGCTTTCTTGGGGAAGGACTTGGCAAGCGAGGAGAGCAAGGCACTTACTTTCTCATACTAATTGAAAGCTACGTCCCAGCTCGGGAAAGCTTCGCCGAAGCATCGTTGTAGCACCGTAGGAGCACCGCCGAAACGTGTGTTTTTCTCCTATTATTAGGAGAGCTTCATACGGAACACAACCATGGGACTTTGATCAACCACCACGACGGTATAATCTCCTTAAACCCTTGTGCTCTTCCTTCTAAACCGGCCTTAGGTTAGCTTAGGGTAAGTGTGATGTGTCCGATCACCCACATGGGCTGAGCGTGGCCCATCGATGCTAGTTAGCGCGACCACGTTCTCTTGGTTTGGTTGGTGTTTTCCTAGAGGAAGTCTTAGGTTAGGATTCTCATGCGTGGCCAAATCCTTTACGGAGCCAAGCGATCCTCTTCTGTTAACCCTAAACCTACGTGTTGAGGTCTCGATCTCCCCTTGCTTTGGTTTTCCTCAACCTTTCTAAGAAAAATTGGAATGTTTGGATTTCGCAAAGTGAGAAGAGCTTTATAGCTAGCTCACCTTACAAAATCAGGAAGAGTTGCAAAATGAGAAAACTTTTGTAGCTAGTTCATTCCACAATATCGTGGAGAGTTTCCCTATTGGAGACACGAAGGTGAAACCCCCGGACACTTTACCAAAGCAGAAGGTGGCGATGCCACGCATCTATGTGTTAAACCTTAGGTGTCCCATGTGAGATCGTTAGCACAAATGTGGCCTGTTATCGAGCAAGATCGTTTGCTTTGAATTGTGTCATGTGTGTCCTGCATGAAGCATTTTGAACTTGCACATTGCCTTGTCTAGAAATCACGACTCGACCGACATTACTTCTACCTTGATCGGCAGCCCCAGCCCGATCGGCATCACTTCTGCCTCGATTGGCCGCCCTGGCCTGATCGGCAACACTTCTGCCTTAGGCTACTGGCTCGGCCCGGTCAACATCACTATTGCCTCCGTCCGACCGACCCAGCCTGATCAGAAGAGCACTTTAGTCTAACTAGCCGCCCCGGCCCTGTCAACCGATCACTTTGGTTCGACAACCGCCTCGGCCAGGTTAACCGGTCACTTGGTCTAACTGACGGCCCTTGCCCTGTCGACCAACCACTTTAGTTTGATCGGCTGTCGCGGCCTGGTCGATCGATCACTTGCATATTGTATGTTATGCATGGATGAGTATGCTTGCTTACTTACATGGTGCACTAGAATTGCATGTGTCTACCATTTGCATGTATGTTTGGACGTTGTTGGGATAGGGTATAATTCTCCTCGGTGGCATCTTATGCCTAGGCAACCAAACACAAATTTTTGTGTTATATGACTTGCATGACATCTTGCATAGTCATTGTCACACGCTTGAATTGTATTTTCGAGTGTTCATTCATACACTCACCCCTATTGTATGATTCTCCTTAGTGAGGATCATCACTCATTCGAGTCACTCCCTCCATGACATATCT